GAGGCCGAGCCTGCATTTTGACGAGGCCTCCCGCTGCAGACATCCCACGAAACTCCTCCTCGTCAAAATCCGATACGCGGTCGTCAAAAAACGATGGCGAATCCGAGTCCTGGCAAACCCGGGTCTTACGCTCCCCCGAAGTTGGCGGGCGAGGATGTCCGCACGATTCGGGACTATACGTCAGGAGGGCGGGGAAGCGTCGTGTGGTCCCGCCTGGTCCCCCCCCCCCTGGAGGAGATCTGGGATATGGTTCTGTCGCCACTGCACGGGCTGTCTGCGCGCAAGCACGGATTAGGGTGCACAGAGGAGCCACATGATCTGCGGAAGGTCCACCACATCCTGCGCTTAGGCTTCGCCCAGGTCCGTCTAGTCGACATGACGCCACTCTACTGGCATCGGTCTCGTGGCGTCGGACTTCCAAAAAACGAGCGCCCCGGGCCGAAAGGGCGCAGGCTGGTCCACACCCTCCCCATCACTGGTAAGGCGGGGCACGCCCGTCGGATCTCCCATAGGCTACCCATTCTGGACAACGGGTTCGCAAAACATCGTCGCCGTGAGGACGCTATAATGTCTACGATGATAGGTGGCTACAGGCTACGCCAGACGCGGTGGTCGTACGCCATCACCACGAAGGACTTCTCCAAAGCTTTCGGCAACACGAAACGAAGAATTCTGGAGAAAATCATGCAAAAATCGGTTCGCCCTTGTGATCGAATGGTGTGTTGCCAACGTTACCGGCTGTCAGTGGTGGAGATCGAAACGATGTCCGGCCTTCTGACCGTCAAAACTGGGGTTGGTGGGGTGATGAGCGACCCATTCAATGTCCACGGCTTCTCGGGCGCTTTCGTGGAACCAGTTCATCAGTAGGCTCTGGGGGTGCGCAAACAGATTCCGTCCGCATCTATCTTAACAGGCGAATGGTGTGGGGTGCCAGTAGACATGTCGTACGAAAAGTATGCCGGTGATCTGTTGCGCACGGTCCCCCTTGCAACGGGCACAAGCATGGATGAGATCTTTGCGGCGTTACGCACTTCGGATGAGATCCTGGACAGTTCACTGTAGCCGACTGGGTACGCACAGAGCAAGGAAAAGCAAGGCACGAGTATATACATCGCGGGGCAGGGGGCGACGACGTGTAGGAAGTACATTAGGGAGCACGGGGTGGAGCGGAAGAAGATGGATGGCACGGTTGCAAATGTTGTACGTTATCTGGGCCCCGTCTTGACCCCGACCCAGCAATCTTCTCCAAAGGTTGAACGACGGCTTACGGCAGCGGCGTCTTCTCATTACAGTATGGGTTCGTTCTGGTCGCTCCCCTTACCCAGCCATGGCGTCGCACGATATTCCAGGGCTTAGTTCAAGGTTCTCTCTTCTTGGGCATGAAGCCCTGTCTGCTGAGTGATCAACAGATGGATGCATTGGACAGACACCTAGCACGACTGGGGAGGATGGCTATGTAAGGGAGGGCATGCACGACGAGGATGGGTCTAAACGCACGCTGGACGCTCGGGCTGTATTATACTACTGGGGACTAACAACTACAACGTGCGAGCTGCTCACACGCCGTCTCTCATGGTATCAGAACGGGGCTTCGCATCAAGATTGCCGCACCCAAATAATTGTTGCGCTATTCGGCGCTCTTCCCTTCAAAGCTGGAGAGGCCATGCCCTGCAACGCCAGTGGTCTGACACCCGACGCTTCCCCCCTGGACCAAACGAGTTGGAACGGATATCCTAGTCAGATGTCGTGCCTGCGTGCCCGGACGAGAAGGAGCTACTTACCAGGTTCGGCGAGTGCCCGTGGCTGCTAATCGAGGATGACGAGGTTCGGCGAGATGTTGCACGGCTCCATTTTCGACGGGTGCGATCTGTCAGTCGTGCGTTTGCCATCCCTCTCCCGGCGCAGCAAGATTCGGAGGCGGTGGAGGGGGGGGAGGGCTGGACCCCATGGAGGAGGAGGTGGGGTACCCTACAAGTGCACGGCGGCGGTGGTGGAGCAGGGGGGGGCACCCCGGGGGCCCGGGAACGGCCGCATTGGATCTCACAATTGCCCCCCCCTTTCCGGGGGAGGCTGGGCGGGAATGCGAGGAGCGTTTCAGGCTTCGGAAAGGATTGATGGAACAGCTCCGGTACCGACACCATGTTCGAAACCTCGCCCACGTTCAGACCAAGACAAAGCAGTGCCTAGTATGTGTTCGAATATTTCGTTCTCAAACATCTGCTGCCAGGCATCTACAGGCATCCTTGTCACGGGGCTACTGTGGTAGAATCTGAACAGCCCGTGGACTTCAATTACAATATGTGTGATTTCATCGGCAGGGATTGGCAGGATCTCCGTAGTCATCAGCTGGCTCATCTTCCACTTCGTGTGCCACCACAGCCACCTTCGGCTGTGGCACTCTCTCCGGACGGCGCCCATGGCCGACAAAGCAAGAGACTCGGACGTGGCCATGCCCGCGTGGATGAAGCGGACGGCGGCGCCGAGGGGCCCAGGATCGGCGCGTCCAAGCACGCTCGGAGCTCCCGCACTCAGGGCGAGGACACGAAGGGCGACAAGCGGGTCAGGGCGCTGTTGGTGGTCCTGGCACAGCTGGCCCTGTCGGGGAGCCGCCAGATCGCGGCGCTGGAGAGCGCCACCTACGCGACCAGGAAGGCGAGGACACAGCTGGGGCGGTGTGCAAGGCCGCCAGCGCAGCATAAGACCTCGAGTCGCAAAGGCTGAAAGAGTGCGAGAGCAAGGGAGAGACCATAGACTACAAGGCTCACAGGGCCCCATAACTGCAGGTCTACGTCTCGGGGATCAAGCGCGTGCTGGACAAGATCGGCCCAGACGGCCCCCACAAGGACGAGAAGGGGTACGCGTTGATGAGGGTGCACTGGGAGACGGTGGTGAAGAAGCGGCCTTCAAAGGTCATCGCGATGGACGTGCTCCACTTCAGGCACAAGAAAGCGGGAAAAGGACTCGACCCGGGGCATCTTGAGCCTGGCCATCTGCCTGAAGGAGAAACTGGTTGCGGACATGTGGACGTTGGCCATGAAGCACCTCGTGGAGCAGGACGGCCTGAAGAGGACGACGGGGCCTGCCCCGCGGGGGCCATTGGAGAGAGAGTCTCCCGCATCATCGGCGAGATCACATCGGCGAAGGGCGCGGGCAGGGTCGCGTGAGCTGGCGCCAGACTAGCTCGAGGCTCGCCGAGTTGATTGCGTGTGGCGTCGTCTCCCCCGATGTTGTTCCATCTCTCCCATCGCCTGCTGGGCCGTCTCATGCTTCCCCGTCTCTGCCCACGGCCCCTGTTGCCTTCGTCCCGCCCTCTGACGCTGCTTCGACTGGGCGCGGCCTCGGGCGCGGCAAAGGCCAGCGGCCGAGAGAATCGCCGGGGACGCCTCCTGGCCCTGAGCCGCAGAGCGCTTTCGGCACCGGCCGATGGCGGGCTGATGGCACCGGCCGTGGCGGCAGAGCCAAGGGAGGGGGGGCGGGCGTCAAGTGGGGGCGGTCGCCGTCGTGTTGGGGGGGGGGGGCCGAGGTGCGCGCTGGTCCCCACGGGGGGTACCTGCCTGGTTTGCGCGCCCCTTTTTGGCAGGTCGCCGCTGAAAGGGGCAGCGCGGACAGCTGTCCGAGAGGCCATGGGACGTCTCGCGGAGAGTGGGTTTCCATGACTGTCGCAATGCGACGCCCAGAGGCACGAGAGAATGCGACGATTGCATCATCTTGGACCTCCGCGGGCTAATTGAACTGAACTGAACTCCTCCTCCTCCTCCTCCTCCTCCTCCTCCTTCCTCCCCTCCTTCCCCTCCTTCTCGGCGGCGAGCGAGGGGAGGAAGTGAGAAGGGAAAGGCCTTCTCAGAAGGCGGCAGGCCTTCTCAAGAGCCCTCCCGCCTTCTGAGAAGTGTTCTGCGTCTTTAGGGAAGGCTCCGAACACCTGTCAAAGGCCCGATAAATTCCGAGCCTTCTGAGAAGGCCCGACCCGTCTCACCTCCTCCCCGCAGGCTCGCAGCCGACCTTCGCTTCCTCCTCCGTCCCCTCCTGCAGATGCCGCTCCCTCCGCCTTCTGCTGCTGAGATGCTGCCTCCCCTCCCACTCCTTCCCTCATCGTCCTCCTACTACTCCTTCCATACCCTCCGCTTCCTTCTGCTGATGCTGCCCCTCCTTCTCCTCGAAGTTGGCCGCAATCGGAGGATGGCGCAGGGGCGCAGGACGAGAACGTGCGGTGAGAACGCACGATGGTGGGAGGAGGTCATGCTCCTCCCTCCTGTGGTTCCTCCCCCTCTGGAGACCTTTGGGACGTCTGGATACGTCTGAAGACCTGCGGAGACCCCCGAGGGAGGGGAGAGCGGGGAGAGGGGGCGGGGAAGGAAAGGTCCTGGAGGGCGGAGGGAAGGGAGGACTGAGATGAGATGAGAGGAGACAGAGTCCTGAAGGCAAGTCGTCGAGGCCTCGTCAAAACCTCCCTGGGACGGCTCGGAGAGAGCCGAGGCGTCAGACAAGACAAGACAAGACAATCACCAGGCCCACCAGCCAATGTCTCGAGGGGATAGCTCAAGTGCACTTCACTCCTGAAAGCCAAAATCCATACACCAGATCTCTGCGGTGGGACATCTTCCACTGAATGGATGAATGACGCCTGGACCCGTCCCCGGGGTGCCCAACGGTGGCAACAGGGAGTCCAGTCGTGGCGACGGAAGGCCCCGCCAGTGGCCCGGGAAGGGGCACGACAAGCGCGAATGAACATCGGCGCTCGAAACTCGACCATCAGCAACTGCGTGTTGCAGATTGGCGTGTCCAGACGTGGGACTGAACAGACATGGGGACGATGCACAACAACAAATGTTATCCCGAACCGCCAGCAGCAGCTGCTGGGCAGGCGACTAATTGTTCAAAACGGGCATCGCCTGCGGCGACAAGAGCGGACCGGAAATGGTGTTTGTCTCCGTCTCGACTCTTTACGTACCAACGTGGTTCGTTCCAGAAGCTCTGCACCCAACAATTGCACATCCCTTGTACTACCACTTCTTGCATCCGCCGCGTCCCTCCGGCGGAACCGCCCGATTTGCACTTAGATACGCCGGCTTTCGATCGTACCGAGAGGAGGGGGTCAGCGCGTATGGCCCGAGGCAGGTGCTCGGACGAGAAAGGGCCAGGGGACGCACGGAAAGAAGAAGAAGAAGAAAAAGAAGAAGAAGAAGAAGAAGGCGGGCGCGTCGAACTTGAGTATGGAAACCAGACCCGTCGCCAATCCACGCGCCGAACTCCACGCTTACAGTGCAGTGCCTCGATTGATATACCCTCTCCCCCTGGTCCTCACACCCCCCTCCACGCTCCACTGGAGAGGCCCCGACGTCCCCTGCCTTGCCGAGTCTGCTGCGAGGGGGCCTTTGACGCCACGCCCGCCGTGAAGGGGCCTCTGGCATCCTACATGCTGCGGCAATCCGAGTCCGCAAAGAGCGCACCGCGCTCTAATGCGCAGCTGGCGCCCGCCAGATGCCATCGCGAACCAGAATCGCAATCTGCGCTTGTTCGCAGCGTGGACACCCACTGGCCCACGAGGTCTAGACCACTTCCCCAGGACCGGCTGTTCAACCTGAGCCCTTCTTTGACGGGCCCTGGGAACCCTAGCCCCAAATTGACGGAATAGCCGGCCGAACCGACCCCGAGCAGGCCATCCCCTGCCGTGACGTCATCCTCGCCTCTCCCCTCCGGCCGCATGTGTCTTGGGGCGAGGCGAGAGGGACGTCACGGAAGGTGATGGTTTGCTCAGGGTCGGTCAGGCCGCCCCTGATCCTCCCGTCGTGATTTCGCTTCACGACGCGAAAGGGTTCGGCCCACCTCGGCGCCAAGCGGGCCGGCGGTGTCCGAGCGGGCCCGCGGGCCGGGCTGGCCGCGCCAAGCCTCGGCCTCGCGCAAGTGCGTCGGAGATGTGCTGACCCGGGTCATTCCAAACCCGGGTCAGTCGGGCTTTTCAGGATCCTGCAGGATCCCGCGCCTGAACCAGGGTCAGTGCGCCCCTGGCTCTGCAGAATCCTACAAGATCCTTCGCTCTGGCTGCCCCCCGTTTGCACTGAGCCTCGGGTCAATCAAGGCCCCCGAACCCAGACATCCGACGCCGTGACTTTATCAATGCGGGGTCCACTGGAGTCTCCAGCAGTTGCCCAAGCCCAGCGCGTCATCCTGAGTCGTTTGCTGACGGTCCCGGAGCCTGGCGAGGGCTCCCCAGAGGCCGACAACTGCGAAAACGCGTTGAGAACTCTCCCCTGCGTGTAGCCGCCCCGTCTCCAGGCTCCCGAATGCGCTCGGAGCCCGTGCGCCCAGTGGGGCGACGCCGGCCTGCGGGCGCCCGAGCGCCGCGGCGCCGAGACCGCGGCCAGCACACGCCAGCCTGCGGACGCCCATTCCCAACTTGCATTGTGTGGCCTGGTGCGTGTGCGTTTTGTCCCCAGCGCTTTCCGTCGGAAAGAAGAAAGGTGGAGCACAGCCGCGAAGCTCCGACCGCCTTGCCATGAGCCAGCGGGGACTCTGGCTCGAAGAAGCTCAGGTCGGCGTCGATTGGAGAGGGCACGCGAGGGGACACGCGCGGGTTCTTTGCCCAACATAGACCAATATTTTTCTGGCGCTGACCTCGTCGAGCAAAATACCCTGGCTCGAAGAAGCACAGGTCGGCACTGATTGGAGCGGGCACGCCAGAGGACACGCGCGTGGTTTTTTGTTGCCCCAACATGGCGCAATATTTTGCTGGCGATGACCTCGTCGAGAAAAATGGCCCAACTCCCAACAGCCGCAGCCTGCACCTCCACCCGCCGGCTCTGCCCGCCGTGGTGATGCCTGAGGCCCCGCCGTCTTTAGGTAATTCGTCTTTGCGCGGCCCGCTCTGACTCGACTCGTTTGCACTCTCGCTTGCGGCTGCTGACTAACAAAAATCGAGAAACATACACACGCCAGAACGATGCCAAGCGGATGCCCTTCCCCGGCGCCCTCGGCAGAGCGGGCGGGCCAGGCCTCCAGAGCGAGGCGCCAGCCCTCCGCCTCTCGGGGGATGGGGAGGGGCGGGGGGCCCCCCTCCCGGGCCCCTTCCACTCTCCTGCTCGGGGGGAGGGATGGCTGGAGGAGAGGGAGGAGGGTTGAAAAGGGGGGAGGGGGAGGAGGAGGAGGAGGAGGAGGAGGAGGCGGAGGAGGAGTCGGAGGAGTCGAAGGAGGAGAAGGAGGAGGAGGAGGAGGAGGAGGAGGAAGAGGAGGAGAAGAGCAATGAACAATGCGCGGGGTGTCCAAATGAGTTACTCAATCTCATACCATAAAACTGGCCGTGAACTCAGCGCAACCCGACTTCTTGGGGGAGCGGGTTAACCTTGAAAAGACAAGGGGAACCCCCTCTGGCAGGGCCAGCACAGCCCCTGAACGACGGCGAACCCCAGGCGCCGCGCAGGCGCACGGAGGGGACCGTCTAGGGGACCGACGCACTGGGTCTACCGTGAGAATCTTGCTTACCCTTTCCTCCTCTGGGGATCGGGGGAAGATCGGGATTAGAATACGTGTCGAAACTAGTGGCCTCAAAGGGGTCAGGGATGGCCCCTCGGGCCACTAAAGCAGCTAATCGTTCACTACCTGCAAAGGCCCCTCTACTCAGGAAGCGTCTCTCACGGGGGCCCTCGCACTCACGCTCACGCGAACGACTCCTGTCGTTCCTTTTCCTTGTTTTTGTCCTCAGCTCTCCTGGTCCTGATCCTTGTCCTTGCCGCCGCCCTTCTCGAAGATCGCCAGGAGCCTTGCCGACTCGCGCTCGAGAGGGCCCCTAGGGGCAGGTCCCACAAGCTGCGTCGCTTTGGCCTTGTCCGAGTTCAGAAATTGAATCAACAGCGAACGCGCCTCCCTCCCTGGATCGTCGTATGAGAAGGCGAACGTGAGCCTGCCCTTCTTCTCCTCCGCCACAACCGCGGCCCCGTCCTGGCTCTTCTTCGGCTTGAACCTCTTGTAGCGGAAGTGCAGCACGTGCTTGGCGACATCCGTCGGCAGCTTCTGGGCCAGGTGCTTCTGGAAGTACTCGTAGAAGACCTTCTTCTCGCTCTCTGCGTAGGTCTCGCTGCCGTCCAGGAAGGCGTCCATCTGGCTCACCAAACTCATGGCGAGCGCCCCCCCCAGACCTGCACGTGTGGCGGTCCTCTTGCCCTGAAATCGACGTGTTCGCCGGCCTGCTGGCGCTCCTTGAGGTTTTTTGAGACCTCGTCGTACTTGAGCCCAGCGTCGATCATGATCTGCGTAAAAGAGTCCGCGGTCTCGGTGATCTCCCACGTCTGGTAGACCGCCCCCGCGAGGTTGGCCAGCTCGCGCGCGTCGTTGAGGCACAGCTTTGTGATCACCTTCAACAGCGCAGCCTGTAGGTCGCCCTTCTCCTTCTTCTTGCTGCCCTCGGCGGCCTGCTTGGCTGGTGGCGCCGAGCCGTGGGCCCCATCTGCTCCACGTTTCACTATCGCCGAAGGCCCTTGCATCCAGCTCGCCGCCACCACCTGGGACATTGCCTAGGGCGGCGCTCGGAGTGTCCGCGAGACGGCGGTGCTTCCGAGGGAGAACTGGGCTAGGGAGATGGCTGCGTAGATGTCGGCATAGGGAGTCCAAGTCAGAGGCCTCGAACTCGCATAGGGGGCACTGCAGGGTCGACGGAGGCGATAGAGGTCGTAGCGTCCTACCCCCACCGAAACGACAATGTCCCCGTAGTACGGCTAGTACCAGATGCCGAGCTGCGCAAGCCCTGTCCCAGAAGACTTCCCGGCAGCATATACATGTGTTGCATGGTGCGAGGACCCGGCACAGTGATCGATAATCATGTTGGGAACGCATGTGTGCCATGAGCCCCTGTTTCGTAGTCAAACGTTCACCACATTCAGCGATAAGACAGACAAGCTTGGGAGCATCAGGGCCCGAAGGTTCCTCATGAAGAGCCTCAGGAGCCTTTTTTCGTGTACTCTGGGGGCGCAAACCGCGAGCCGAACGTACATGATCGAATAGCCGTGAAATCGACATTCTCGAACTCACACTGAACCTCGGAATCCCACAGGAGGCCAGGGAAAGGGGCGAGACATCCTAGAAGATCACCGTGGTCTGGGAGGAACTCCTGAGCCCATCGGAGATCATCAACGACGCGTCTGGCCCACGGAGAAGCCGTTGAAGCGAGCACGCCGTCGGCCATGGGGGCCATGCCTTTCTCGAAGGCCACGGAGCCGAAGAGAGCGGAGAGCAACTGGAGGTGGCAGGACGGGTGGCGATGCCAAACTTTGCACCAATTCAGGCGACGAATCCCGAGCTCGATGTGCGTCTCACAGATACGCCAATGCCTGAGGACTCCTTTTGTCTTCAACGTGCGGGTCGCTCCAGACTCTGTCTGCCAGCTGGCCCTTCCACGCATGGCCACGCGGGCGGAATGCGCCACCGTGGCATCTAAACTGGCACACTGATGCTTGGTGATCAAGAAGGCCTCCAGGCCACACAAGGCTGAATTCTGAACCAGCGACATAAAAATCGAGCGCGTGAACTTCCACGGCAGCCGCAAAGACCAGAAACCGCCCATCGAATAAAATGCGGCGCGAGCTGCCTGGCGACGGCGTGCAATCTCCTGGCTGGACGCCTGGGACATCGTGATGTGGGGCCCAAGATACCCGACTTCCTCCTTGATTTCCCCCGACAGGAGCGCCCGACCAGGCCCGCGGAGCCACCTCTTGCAAGCCAGGGCCCCCTTCCCCTCGATCCAGACGGCCAACTCCTGTTTCTCTCGATTTTGTCTGTACCCGTAGTCCTGGAGGAGGGAGTCGAAACAGTCATCTGAATACTTGGGCTTGGCCAAGAAACTCCCCATAGAACCTCCATGCGCAATGAGAGTGTAGCGGAAAAGATTGTCAGCATACTTGTACAAACTAAGGTCGACCTTCTGGCCGTCCCACTCTGCGCGGAGGAGCCTGAGGGACGGATCGACCTCGCGCAGAGCGTCCGTCGGGCGGCAGAAGGTAGTGGAGAAGGCGGCCACCATGAACGGATCCCCCATGACTCATCCCACTCCTGTCTTTACTGCTAGATCCCCTTTCACCACTAGGAAGTAGAACGACAGCATCACGAGGCCTATTCTTACAACGCGTAACATGTTCAGGCTGTACAATAGTAGAGATGGTGTGGTCCATAGCCTCCCAGCTAGAGCTCCCGAACGCATTACTCATATCCTTCAGACTGGCTCCGAAGCTCCACCCAGCCCGTCGAAGTCTCCAGCCCACCACCTGCGAGGCCATGATGGCCCCTTCCCGACGACGCCGACGCTGGAACCCGTAATCTCCAGGAGGCAACTCGTTGGGCAACAACTCCGCGAAGAAGGATTTCCCCACAACAGGGAGCACGTGGACCACCCTTTTGCCATTAGGCCCAGACTGGGCCGACCTGTACAAGGCACACCCTCGACTTACACTCCAGTGTAAAGGGGGCCAAGTCGGTGATCCTGATGTTCATCATTCCGTCCAGGAGGGTCTCCTAAAACTGCGTGGGTTCCTCGGGGGCTCGTGGGGCTCCAAGGCCAGGGCGCTGACGTTCCATACCTCGTTCAGGGTGAAGGAGTTGCCACCAGAGCTCGAGTGGGGCCGATCCTTCAGGAACAACACGGCGTTTCGGGGCCCGACGAACGTATCTGCGAAGGCCTTGAATATCCTTGTATCCCAACTGTTGGGGGCGATCCTCATAGCGGGCCATGTCATAAATCTGATTCATGCCCAAATCATCACGAGTGGCACGCCAGGCGCCTAGGTCGATCGGGTGGACCTGCATCCCGCCGTCGCCGCCTGGGAGGGACCAGACGGCGAGCCACTCCTCATGCGTGATGGGAGCTCCGCCGAAACGCCGCCCATCCCGTCTTTTTGCCGAAGAGCTACAGCGGGCAGCACGGCGGGCCCAGCCCATGGCCTCGCAGAGGTTCCGCTGGGCCCAAGCGTCGTATGAGGCCTGGACGCAGGACTCCCTCACAACACGTACATGTCTTCTTCGAAGAAGTGTGAGGCGCTGGGAGAGGTCGCGGAGACCGTACTCCAGCTGCTCCAGTTCGGTGTCGTCCACGGTCGCGCGCGAGGCGCGCATGTCGATCCTCTTCTGGAGCATGTCTCTCCTCAGCTTCGCCCAGTGCGCGTATTCGTCGGGGAGGTCCGTCGGCTTCGTGAAGTACTCGGAGCCAACCTCGACCATGCAGCACTCCAGCAGCTCAAAGGTGTGATCGGGGGCGTCCTGGTCGTGGGCCGTGGTGCGCTCCTCGACGTGGTCGTCCAACCACTGGGCGACACCGTTCACGAAGTCCACACGAGGAGGAGGAGGAGGCAGCGATAGGGAGAGGGAAGGAAAGGTAGAGACGGGGAGGGGGGGGGGGAGCGAGGAGCAGAGGGTAGCAAAAGGAGGAGGAGAAAGAGGAGGAGGAGGAGGGGCAGGAGGGGGAAGCCGAGGAGAGGAGAAGGGGGGGGGGGGGGGGCGACGTCGATCATGGTTTGGCCCCAGCTGCAGCTTGAGAGCATGCAACAAAAAAGGAGGGGATGGAGGGAGGGAGGGGGGGAAGATGGGGGCAAGGAGGGGGATCGGAGACATGGAAGGGCGCCAGGGGTGTCAGCAGGAGGAAGGCGATTAATCAATGGGATAAATATGATGATGAAGAAACGGCTGACGTCCATCCCATTCCTCATGCTATTTATCAGCCTGCTCAGCCGGGCGGTCCACCGCCGTCTCTCATCTTCTCGTCCCCGGCCCCTCTTCCTCCGATCCCCTCTCTCCCATCCCTCCCCACAGTCCCTCCTCCCTGCCCGTCCCCTGCCCAGTGCTCCCTGCACCCTCCCTCTATCTCCTTCCTCGTCGTTAATAAGCCCACAGAATTCTCCAGCTCAAGGGGTGCGTTTTGACCAGCTGTGGCGACGAGAAGCCTCCCAGGGGCCCAAAGCCAAGACAGTTCCGTCGCCCTCCACCACTTTCCCATGACCACTCCACCTCCTTACCCCTCATCCTCTTGCAGCCGACGGGCGGCTACAAGGGCACCAGCGGGAGCCCAATAATACAGGTGAAGGGTGCAAGTGAAGGGCACATCTCCCTATGGCTTTCATTCGGCGGAAGCATTGAGGAAAGAACGGAGAACGAATGCCAACAACAACAACAACAACTCCTGCCCATCTTGACCTCTCGGCTTTGGACAGCATTTACAGACGGGGATCGTCCCCATGTTTTCCATTCCCATGTCTGGCGTGAAAGCAACAGCGCAACGCACAAAGACCTTCACCACCCATCATCGATCAGGACATCGAATCGGATGTAAATGTGCATGCGATCGGCTGGCCAGGGATGCCGACCAGCGCCACACGGGCACCGGGCCACAGTGCATCGCTCGAACTTCGAACATCGAGAAATAATCGGACCGGCCGAACGAAAATCGATGTCGAACCGGATCGATCAGATCGGCCCCGCGCTCCTGGAGTACAGTGGGCACCTCCGATAATCAAAAACAGCTTCTGGTGGCACAATCGTCGCTGGTCGCTGAGGTTTCTCTAAAGTGCGCAAGTGCTCCTGCGTGTCCCAGAGGCCATCGGGGAATGCGGAACTTCCGTTCGGCACCTGCAAGAGACACAAGTGCTTGCTGGATTCGGGGGCCACGTGCGAACCCTGCCCCTGCCTCCCTCGATTTCTGCGGGGGAGGGCGGGGTTCACTTCGTTCGGGAGCTCTCGAGCGAAGTGAACCCCACCCTCCCCCTCAGAAATCGTGGGGGGTGGGGGTAGGGTTCGCATGTGGCCCCCTATGGATGTGTTTCTTGCGGGACGACGGGGTCTCCACATCTCCAGCGCTCCTGGCCGGGCCTACCCCGGGCCCAGGAGCGGCGTCTGCGCCCCCCCCTGGCTGGACGTCGGGCCACGGCTCCAGCGGAAGGCCATTGGGAGACGCGAGCGCACCTAGCTTGTCCCCCTCCCCCTCCCCCTCCCCCTCCTCCGCCTCCCCCTCCTCCTCCTCCTCCTCCTCCTCCTCCTCAACAGCTTGCGATCAGACGAGATGTTGAGAAGCACTCCTGCGGGCATGAAACACAGGGGGGTGCGAGCAGAGGACTGCTCTGGGATCTAGGGACAAAACCATGCTTTCCTAGCGATTGTGCGAGAACTCACGGAATGCGTTTGCAGTGTGCTATCTCTGGTATAAAACGATGAAGAACTGCACAGGAAGCCATTGACAACTTATGTGCCACACAAATGTTGCTCTCACAAGTACGCGTAATGCCATTGGCACCAATTTTGTGCTGGAAGGCGTTATGTTATCATGCGGAACAACAAATGTGTGGTTTGACCCTAACGTCGCGATCTGCGTAATGGGAGCGTCCGATTTTCAAGATTAGGATGATCACCCTAATGAAATGGCCAGAACAATCGCGGACGGCACCCGACTGCTTCAACAAGCATCGCATCCGAACTCTGCTCCCTCGGAGAGGTGCGATAACAGCGCGTGTATATACACATATTCATTTTCCTTATCCTTATTACACGGGACCCCCCTGGATGGGCATCACGAGCACATCCGTCAACACGAACCACACATTGGCTAGGCCTTTTGGGGGGTCTCCGCCGCTACACACTTTTACTGCCTGCGGCCATGCTCACTTCGCGCGGAAACCCACGCCGACGTTGGCCCCGTGGCGCAGGCAACACCAAAAACCACAACGCCTCGCTACAACCCTCGATACGCAGAAAAACACAACTTCCCATCAACCACGAGCGGGTTCGCCTGTCTGCCTGCTTCCGGGACCTGGCAAAAAAAACAGGCAGGAAAAAGCGCGGACGAAGCGGGCCAGAAAAACAACGTTAAATGACGAGAGAAAGGACAGACGAACGCCAGGCCGCATCGAGTTTCTTCCTTCCTCTACCCTGGTGGAATACAAAGCCCACCCTCCCGTGCTCAGGATGAGGATGAGGAACGAGATGTTGTGGCGAAGCGAAGCGAGCCATGCATAGACATGAAAACACGTGTATATAGAGATAGATGGAGAGAGAGAGAGAGAGAGAGAGAGCGAGAGAGCGAGACAGAGAGAGAGAGAGAGCAAGAGCGAGAGGGTGAGAGAGAATGGAGACAGCATCCCTGCCAGGGCAGGCGGCGGGAGCCCTCGGCGAGGGGAGACCCGGGACTGCCCGGCACCACCACGCAACGCGCCGCTCCGTGGCCCGGCTCGGCTCCCCCGTGGGGGCACGATGCCCCGAGTATGCGGATGGGCCGTGGCGGTGCCGAACCAGCTGCTTCAGGGGGCCACGTGCGAGCCCCGCCCCTACACCCCCCACGAGTTCTGGGGGCGAGGGTGGGGTTCGCTCCGCGCGGGAGCTCCCGCGCGAAGTGAACCCCACCCTCCCCCTCAGAAGTCGTGGGGGGCAGGGGCAGGGCTCGCATGTGGCCCTCTATATTCTTCGTCAAAGGATGCGGGTAGAGTTCAGGTCGGGCGAGCACAGGCGGGCCACGCGAGCGCAAAATACGCCCCATGCAAGAGAAAAGGCAGCGGTGCCGTAGCAACAAAAAAAGGTCGCCATTTCCTGGGGCCTAGCTGGAGCTCCACCAAGGGTTGAACCGCTACGAGGAGCAGCACAGGATGGCTCGTATACTACCCAGCGGGCGCCCTCATAGGGGCCCAGAGTAATAAGGCGGTGTGGCATGGGACGGTTCGGTAATACTGTTCTGGGCTGCTCTCGTTGGGACCAAGTCGCTGAAGCTCCTTCCAATCTGAGACAGGAGGTGGAGGAACAGGAGACAGGCCGGCAACACCCGTCCTGGCCTCTGCCTCGCTCGGCGCCGCCAGGAGGAAGTCCTGGCGGTGGTGCGTGCCGTTTGTGGGCTATCCTCGTCCTCCTCATCCACACACCCCCTCCTGCTCGTCCCCATCATACCTCCCCTTCTCCGACCCCATGCTCTGTTGACGTTCCGCCTCCTCTCACTCCCTCCTCTCCGCCTGCTGATCCGCCTCCTCCCCCCTTCTCCGCCTCCCTAAAGCTGGCGTTACATCCCAAACTATTGTTTGACGGTCACTGGGCCCGGCGAGGGGCCCGGCGAGGCCGAGAAGGTATACACACTTCCGTACTACAAAGTATGTTCCTCGATTCGTTGGAGACCTGAGCATCCGTACAGTTCCCTCTCCCGCTTCCTTCGACTCCCCCTTCCCTCTGCCCATCCCTCGTCCCACGAGGAGAACCTCCTCGCTCGCCGGCGGCCCCCCGAGGCATCCACGGATGTCCACCACCAGACCGCGGAGGTCCCCAGAGGCTTCTCCAGGAGCCTGTGGGAGCCCCAAGCGAGCCAAACTCGCCCAAAAATATCGGTCCTCTCCCTCCCTCCTCTCCTCTTCCAGGCTGGAACTGGATCGAACAGAGAAGTCGGTATGCATCGGGAACGTATCGGAACCACGCCTGAATCGTCGCGGAATCGGATCGTGGCCGGATCGTTCGAGATTGCAGATCGGGCTGGGTCACTGCAAACGGGAGATGGAATCGGTTCGTGTCATATCGAATCGGATCGAGATCGGAATCGACATGGTGGGATCAGATCGTATCGGATCGAAGCGGACCGCGCAGCCCTCTCTCTCTCTCTCTCCTCCTGGCCCGACGGGTGCGGAGAAAAAGGGCGTCCTGATTGTAGGGCACCTTCGCGGTGACCTCCGCGCGAGGTCGTGAGACTGGAGGCAGCGCAGAACTTGCCGAGATGGCACCGCAGATGCTGGGCGGGAGGGAGCGGGGTTTCGAGGGTGGCAACGTCTGGCGCTACGTATATAATAAGGAGTCGGTTTCTTGTGACCTGGTTGTCGCCAGAAGATCGCGACGGCCAGCTCTTCTACGTTCTCGGCCTCATAGCCGCAACGGGATTGTCAAAAGACGACCCAGGATGGCAAACACGCAACGGGGTAAGGGCGGAGATGTCAGGGGGCCCAGCCACGACAAGAAATACGACGTCGGAGGAGGGGGCCTGGATGACCCTCCTCCAGGCAGACCTCTGGATGCCCATGGGCTTAACATCGGCGGCGAGCGAAGGGCGAAGTGAGAACGAGAAGGCCTTCTCAGAGGGCGGCGAGCCTCCTCAGAAGCGCTCCGGCATTCAGAAAAACCTGTTGCGTCCGTGGGGTAAGCTTACAAAGCTTCACAGAAGGCAGGGGGACTTCCGAGCCTTCTGACAAGCCCCGCCACTTCTCACTTGCCCCCGGGGCTCGCCGCCGACAAAAGGAAACCTGAAGAGCCCCGAGCCCCTCCTGGGCCGCAGGCGATCCACACTTCGACGCCGCGGCTGCAGAGATGGCCGGCGACCCGCCCCCAGGGCCTCGCTGGGATCTGGCAAGGGGCACAAGCCGCTGCCGTTGCCCAAAAATCACGATGGAGAAAGAGGAGGGGGAGCATGAAAGGGAGGAGTAGGAGGAGGAGGAGGAGAAGGAGGAGGAGGAGGAGGAGAAGGAGGAGGAGGAGGAGGAGGAGGAGGAGGGAGGAGGAGGCCAGCGACGACGAGAACGAGGAGGCAAAACAGGATTAGGGGGATGACGATGGGGAGCAAAGGCAGGCTGAGGGGTTCCATGTGGAATCCCTGGGCACAGGCCAACGTTCACATAGAATGCTCACACAATGTCCTTTCTCATTCCTTCTAGCTATAAGCCGCCAGCCACTGCCCTGCAACAGACTGGTGTCCATCCACACGTCTACTGGGGCTTTGCGCGATCGGAAGCTCCCCCCAACACGAGCAAACGCCTATACTCAAACGCGTTGCGTTAGGCCCCAAATGGTGGCGCACGTCCCGAACACCGTGGGATAGGCCGATGTACGAAGAAGCCGCGCCTAGACGGCGTATTGGCAAAGCGAAGCAACACATAAACATCAACATGACTGCCGCGACGCGTCATATGTTCCACGCCAGCTGCTTTGGTCCACGGGAAGGATAACTGAATCCCGTTGCAATGGAGGGCGATACACAACTATGCCAAATTATTGCGCGCAGTACCGCGCAACCGTTTCATACCACATTGACAGCTTCTGCAATTTGCGTTTGGAGTGCATACGGGTCGCTCTCTGCCACCCCGGGTGCCTCTGCGCGCACATGGTGTGTATATTGCAGACGAGGAAACCCTCGAGACCATGACGACTTCCAACTTCGAGGTTGCCCATTATGATCTTGACCGTTCCCGGACGACAGTTCTTGGTGTGCTCGCGGGCTGCCCCGAGCAAAGGTTACCATGTAATTGACCCTGCCGTTCGAAAGAAAATTGGCGTCAGTGGCCTGGCTTTTGCGTTGCTCGCGTGGGACACGAACGCGGGTATAATCTTACATACTATTGGTAGGCATCACGCCTGGAAGCCGCCGGCCCTGTTCCTGCTGGCCTGTATGCGCACGCGTGATCCCAACCCATACAAGGATTTGGAAAACAAGCGCATGCTTCAAACACCCTCTGCTTATGTTGTTTGCTGAGATTTGCAGAGCTCCAAACCCTGACCAACAATTAACACATGTCTCTTTTGTTGCCCCAAGGCGCTGCGAAACATCCGCCCGAGATGTCTTATCGGCCGCGATGAATCCATCCGGATAGACAGCATCTCTTGCATGTAATCGGTCGCCCGTCTGGCCAATGTAACTCTCGCTCCATCGGCCCGTTTCTTGACCAGCGCCGTTTCCCCAACATTCCGCTCGAAGCATTTGCTTGTCCATGCGCCCACAGCCAAGTCCACATGGGCTTGAAGCACATCGGGGCCCCGTTCTATGAGCATAATGTCATCTGCATAGATGGCAAATTTGGCCATAAAGAAAGGTGCCGTAGGCCAGCGCGAGGCGACAATGCCTATGCGTCCGCCGACACGTTGCAAGACAACGGACAGCGAAGTGATGCACAAGTAAAGCGATGGAGTGAACAACTTGTACGATGCCAGGAAATTGGGTCCTTTTGCGACATCTTCGCGCGAGCCTCCTGCACTGCAAGTTCCCATCGCCTGTAGATGCCCCAGATCACGTTGACATGACGCCGCATTGAGATCCCAGCCCTGCTTCTGCACGACCTCGTTGTGTTGACCTTTATAACAGCAGGGTCGCGAGCGTCCTATGCCGGACTATGGGTAAAAAACCGGCCAGTCGTTTGCAAGCTGTGGTGCGCAATTTTTGAAAATTGCATGATTCTCAAGTTTTGCGGGGTGCTCATGTTCTCTCAGCGCGCGCTGGACAGCTGCGTCTATATGTGCAGCGCCGCTCGGTTGCCACACTGCGCTCGCCATCGCGCTGGTGGCGAACCGCCCGCGCCCGCGGCGCGCCGAGCACGCGAGTCTGCGATTGCCTGCGTTGTTTCTGCGACTGCGATGAGGCCCACTTCTACGCGCGAGCGCCCTTCTTCCAGATTCGCGCTCGGAAAAATGCGTCGAAGGGAAGGCGCCATTGAACCTGTTCCACATAACCTGCCGCAGCGTCAGGCCGTTTGAGAAAACATGCGAAGTGGCACCTGGCGCCCTGGGGCCGTCCGCGTGTGCGCGAAGGCCTCTATGAATGCTTCGATCGCGCCCCAACCGTTCCTGGATGTGGCCTCCGTGAACGAGAATGGCGTCGGCCTTTAAGGATTGCTGGGCAGCACGGACGCCCCCCGCGCCAGTTCGCCAACGTCGCGCCGGCGACCCTCCCACGCGCCGTCCGGCCCTTCCTCGGCGGGGCGGTGGATGGATCCCGCAGAAGGCAATCCCCACCAAGCCTAGCGTGCTGGGCTCGGGCGGCCACCCCGCTCAGGTCGCCGCCGTAAGGTCCATACAAGCCGATGTGAAAGAAGGAACGCTCAATAAGGAACGGAACCCCGTCTTGGCCTCCGTGCCCCAGGAGGGCATGAGGAACAACACTGGAGGAACCTGAGGAACATCGAGCCCCTTCTGAACCCAAACTGTTCCTTGTTTCGGCGTCTTGACTGTAACCTCGTCGCGAATGGCTCTTCGCTCCCGACCCCTGGCCCGGCCTGTCTGCTTGCGGTCGTTGCTTTCCCTCCTGTCCTCCTCCTCCTCCTTTTCCCTTTCCTTCTGCTCCCTGCCTGTTGCCCTCTGTTTGTCCCCCTCCCGCCTGCCCTCGTCCCGCCGGCCCCTGCCCCCTGCCTGCGCGTTCGTCGTCGCCTGCCTGCTTCTCCCCTCCTCTCTCGCTCCCTCTCCGGGCGGCGCGGCCTGCCCAGGGCCGACGTTGCAAAGCAGCGTGGGGCCATCTGTGTCAGCGGGAGTACTCTCTCCCTAGCCGGATGGCGGCGACTGTAGTGAGGATGCTATATTGGAGCTACCAATTTGACCCAGGCACCTTTGTGATTGAGCTTGCCTTTCGTGACGGTGCCTACGTATCCGAACGGCTTGCGTGCAAACTTCTGCTTCAGAAGAAAAGCGGCTGCCTCCATATTTGCAAGACCACCCAGACCACCAAAAACTGCGTTTGGTTCGACCTGTTGGTTCGTGGTGAGTGCCGCTGCTTGGCTCTCGACCTCCTTGGATTTCACGTTCATCGTTCTGCCCACACTGCGTGTGGGTAATGACCGGGTGAGGTTCGAGAACTGAGACCCTGTGGATAATCCCGTTGATGGCCGTACGGGGACGCAAAGCGTCCCGAAGGTCTTGTTGAGAAACTTCGTGTCTTCTTATGGCCTGGATGTCGTTATGGATAGGCTGCAATCGTTCGCGCAATCTGTGTGTAGATTGGCTCACGGTCAATCCGTCCATCTCCCCAGCAGCTGTTATCAACAGCGCGCCTGTTCCTTTGCCTTTCATGTCCTGGTTGAGTGCCATGGGCGTCAGGCTGGCGCGCAGGAGCTTGATGCTGTAGCTCACTCGTGAAATCGCCGTCGTCCAGCCCATCCATTTCCACTGATGGGCTGTGGTCCGATGCTGCGTTCCCTCCATCCAGTCGGCTGCGACGAAGATGGAGAATCTGACGATTGAACAGAGTCCCTGAAGAGCTGCCTGGCCGGGGTGCCTGGCCCGCGCGTCCCGCCACCACGCAGAGAAAAGATCATGGTGAAATCATAGCGTAAGGAAGCTATTCAAGCGGTAAATCATGTGGTCGCTGGGCGGCTCACCGCAGGGATCGAGAGACAGGGAAAGCGAACCGGCTGAGTGCAAGCTTGAGTCTCACGGCCACTATCTACACCGAAGGCCACTATCTATACCATTCTTCTGTCTCGCACACTCACCCTGTCATTTGTAGATGGCTATGGCTTTATCCGCCACCGTGCCTTTGGCACGAAGCGGAGTGCCCCAAGGCTCCTGCAGCACTGAGGAGGTAGACGCTCTGCTGCTTCTGCAACGAGAAGCGTACATTTTTCCAGGGCTCGGGGCAGTGGTGCCCCAAACCTTCCTGGGGGGTCCCAGGCGGGCTCCCGTGCGCCTCCTGCGCCTCCTGCGCACTCCGTGCCCCCCCCCCCCTAAGAAAAAAACGACCTCCCGGACCCTCCCGTGCGTTCCAGAGGGCCCCGGGGCGCCGAACGATCGCTCCAAGACGCCCAAGGTGGCTTCAAGATGGCCGAAGAGGCCTCCAAGACGCCACAAGAGGCCTCCAAGAGGCCTCCCAAGAGGCACAAATCATTGATGCTCCGCCGGTTGCTGAAATATGTTGGCGTTCTCGCCGTTTCGGCTCTCCGACGCTCGAAGACGGCCCGAGTGGCCCCCAAAACCACCCCAAGTCGGCGAAAGAGGCATCCAAGAGGGCCCAAAGACGAACTGAGCGCTCCCCAAGACGGCGCAAGAGGGCCCCAAGACGGCCCCAAGAGAAGCCCAAGAGAGAGGGGGGCACGAACCGAAAATCCGAACCTTCCGCCCAAAGAGGCCCGCCCGCAGGAGCCAACAAGAGGCACCCAAAAGGCCCCAAGAGGAGCCCGAGAGAACCCCGAGAGGCGCCAAGAGGCGTCGAAGAGGCACAACCGAGGCCCCAAGAGGCCAAGAAACGGTTCCCAGGTGGCAGCAAAACTGCCTCCAAGAGGCCCCCGAAAGGCCCCCACGAGATACCGACAAACATCCAATAGACTGGATACCCACAGTCCGCCTCGCAGTGGCGGGATGGGCCGAAGCCCAGCATATGTGTACGTATACACATATATATAGAGAGAGAGATACACATACACATACATACATACATACATACGTACGTACGTGCGTGCGTACGTACGTACATACATGCATACATACATACATACAGACATGCAGACAGACCGACAGACAGACAGACAGACAGACAGACAGACAGACAGACAGACAGGCAGGCAGGCAGGCAGACAGACATACATACCACACGCTCTCTCTCCCCCCTCTCTCTATGGTCATAGTTTCTCTCTCTCTCTCTCTCTCTTTCTCCCTCTCTACGCATACACATGGAGCTTAAGCGAAGACGGCACAACATGTGCGCAACACCTCTGATCAACGACATCAGGCAAGTACCCCATGACAACGAAAGCGTGCCATGTTGGGGGCGAGGGGGCGAGAGAGAAGGTCCCAGGCCTGCAGCAGAGTTCTATTCACCAACTTCACGCTGCTCCCATGTGCCAGGTACACCTCCACCGCGGTCGGGGAGACGTGGCTTCCAATGGAGAAGGAGTCCGAATGCTCTCGCAAGACATAGCGGGGGACACGTGACACTACGTTGCACTTGAGGAAAGAACACTCGATGCCTTTGTTTGCCGAAGCTTCTCGCAAGTGGTCTTCCATATTGCCCCAGGATGGCCTCCATCCAGACAGACCTAATGGGGCTCCTGTTACCGACAACCATGGGGAAACCCATCGTATCGACGACCTCTCGAAGAGAGATGTCCAGCATATTGGGCCTCCCCAGAGGGGTACAAGATCACAGCACCCCCGCAGTCGTGGCTGACATGCTTCATGCTCTGGTCTCCATCCTTCCTTCCGACGTGACGCTCTCATGCCACACTATCGGAGTGCCCAGCTCCTGAAAACCAGAAACCTCGGACGGAGCTGGCTAGTAGCGGCCCGCACGGATCTCTCTGAAGAGGGGGGGGGCAGGAGCGACGTGGGAAACATGCCTCAGCGAGGGGGCGAGAGAGAAGGAGGAACAACAAGGAGGGAGAAGGAGAGGGGGGACGAGGATGAGGAGGCAGGCGAGGGGGACGAGGACCGCAACCATTTTAGCTCAAGCACCATGTGCTCAAGTGTGGCAAGCATAACTGGCTGAAACCAAATGCCACATGCTTCCTTGTGCACATTTGCCGGGGCTGAACCACTGAATGGCGTGCTCGTTCAAGCGCCGATGGCGGGCGGCACGAGCATGTGAAGGAGGCTGAAACGAGAGGCTGAAACTGTCCGGCGGGATTCTCAGGAGCTCGTGTTACGCCATATGCTCGAGCCTACAAATCAAGGCCGGAACGGGGGACAGTTGGGCTGGGTTGGAGAGAGTGGGCAAGGCAGTGAAGTTGCACTGAACCGAAACCACTACTGTGTCTAGCGTGGCTGCTGGTCCTAACTCAACGCCTAAGTAAAAGGTGTGGCCAGCGATTTTGAAGACTGACCAGCGGGGTGTCCACATTGGACGTAATCTCGGATTGTTTGGATGACCTCTGCGCAGTTTGCCCAGAGCGGAACTAGTACGCCCAGATCCGGCTGTTTGCAGCTTGAGCAGCGCACAACTCTTAGGTGTCAAGAAAAAAAAGCAACACGCACAACATCTGTCACGCACGGCATCACCCGACCTACATCATCCGCGAATCCTCCAAGAGAGCCCCTGTGGTGTCTCTCCTGGGGCCGCCAAGGGGCCTGGGAGAGCAACGTCACGAGAGGGTCCATAGCAAGGGCCTGCAGTGATCCAGAGAGTTGACACCCCTGGAGGACCCCAGCTGAGCAAAACACCGTCGGAGAAAGTCCAACGCTCTGAAATACTAGAAACATCCATGAGAAAAACCGGACCGACTTAAAGTTCCAAGATACGGAAGCCCAGAGCCGCCATGGGGAGTCGGGGTACTTCGCTGGGAGCCGCCGAAGATGTATCCCGAAACATTACATACACATGCATGCGTAATGCGTGTCGGCATGAATAAGTATACATGTATGTATGTGTGTGTGTGTTGCACCGCATAGCTAACACACAGGCTTAAACCACACAACGTGCACCTCATAGCCCACACCCGTAGCTTACACCACGTAGGTTGAACCACTGCATCTACGCAAGAAAACTCGCACTGCTTAGCTTACACCACACGTGTTTAAAACACGTAGCTTACACCACAAAGCTTGTACCACCTAGCTCGCACAGCCGGTGCACAACTATTTACTGATTGGGGCCCACGCGGGGAAACACTGTCATCTACGGATTTCCCACATGCGCCGGAAGTGCGGGACAAGTCGTCGTCGTCGTGGTCAGGCCGAGGTATGAGCGCCAGGCTGACCTCCCACCCACTCTGCAAGCTCGAGAGAGCACAGAGGAGTGAGCAGAGCAGAGAGACACCCACCGCCCTACTTTCCTCGAAGAGGCCCTCGATGTGCGAAGAGGAAGGAACGAGGAGGCGGCAAGACCGCGAGCGCGCGCCGCATGCCCCCCGTGTGCGGGCCTCTGGGCGGGGGGAGCTGGGCCCCGGAAGCCCGCCTGGGACCTCCGGGACCTCGGGGACCTCCAGGAACCTCAAGGAGGAGGAGGCGGAGGAGGAGGACGAGGAGCTGGAGGAGGAGGAGGAGGAGGAGGAGGAGGAGGAGGAGGAGGAGCTGGAGGAGGAGCTGGAGGAGGAGAAGGAAGGGGAGGAGGAGGTGGAGGAGGCGGCAAGACCGCGAGCGCGCGCCGCATGCCCCCGTGTGCGGCAGGAGGCGCCAGCGGGTGCGGCTGCACGTGGGGCACCTGCGGGATGGGGCGCCCATCGCACGCCCCGCTCTGCGACGGCCGGCGCCCTGCTCGACCACATCGGGGCCCGCCGTCGCTGCCTCCCCAAATGGGGAGGATCGAGCATCGGAGGAGGAGAGGAGGCTTCAGGGCGTCTCTGGGCCTATTCTGGGCCCCTCTGGGCCGGTGAGGCCTCTGGGGGCCTCCAGTGCCTCCTCCTTCCGCCCTTCTGTGCGTCCCTCGTCGTGGTTTCCTCCTCCTCCCCTTTCTCCTCCTCATCCTCATGATGCTGCTGCTGATGTAGCTGCTCCTCGCCTTCGTCCCATCCCCCCTCATAGTCCCACCTACGCCCTTTAGGGCGCAGGTGGTTCAGGGCGCCTCCTCTCCTGGACGGGGGGGGGCGGCGAGCGGTCAGAGGGCCCAAGATAGCACAAGTTGGCTACAAGAGGGCCGCAGAACGCCCAAGATGGCATCCAAGATGGCTCAAGCTAGCGCAAGATTGCTCACGTCCAAGAAGGTTCCCTAACCGCTCCAAAACGGTCCCAAGTGGCCTCGGGGGCTCCCCAGGCCGTCCCCAAAGAGGCCACAACCCTTCTCGACAATGTTAATGAAAGAGAAATAATGATGTTTGCCGTCTCGCTTGTTCGCATCCGATGACCTTCCAAGGCCTCAAGATGACTCCAAAAGGGCCCAAGATAGTCCCAGGACGGGCCCAAATTAGCTCCAAGACGGCACTAAGAGCGCCCAGGATCGCCTCAAGAGCGTCCGCAGAGAGCCCCAAGAGACGATGTTAGGGGCTATATGGGGAAGCACAAATGAATGATCCCCCTTCTGTGATCGATGTCCTCCAACATGTTTCCAAGAAGGCCTGCAAGGCTACCAAGACTTACTTGTGCTGAATTACCCTGAGATGTACCCAACCCTTTGTATACACGTGGCATTTCCATTCAGGACCACTCAATGCTGACTGGCATTCAGAAGGACCCGCAGTGCGCAAGAAGGGATCTAAGGACTGAACTCAGAAGATAGCAGCATCGCGAGAAACAGCAAACATACAAAATGGAAGCACAAGAGCGTTGAAAGAAACACAAAAGCGGGGGGCGGCGAGGGCTAAACCAGAATATCGGTTTAACTCAGCAACGCGCTGCGCTGAAGAGGCAACACCGACGTGATCCGCGTGGGACGTACCTCCGCTGGGCCCCCCAGCAGCTCACGAACGTGGCGACAATTGCGCAGATCGCAAGACCCCCAAGGGGGCGGCGAGATCCCGAGGTGGTCCGCATGGGACGTGCCTCCGCTGGGCCTCCCAGGAGCTCACGAAAATGGCGACAATTGCGCAGATCGCAAGCCCCCCAGGGGGCGGCGAGGTACCGAGGTGATCTGCGTGGGACGTACCTCCACTGGGCCTCCCAGCCGCCCACGAACGTAGCGACAGTTGCGCAGATCGCAAGACCCCCTGGGGCGGCGAGGTCCCGAGGTGATCCGCGTGGGACGTACCTCAGCTGGTCCCCCCAGGAGCTTACAAAAGTGGCGACAATTGCGCAGATCGCAAGCCCCCCAGGGGGCGGCGAGGTCCCGAGGTGATCAGCGTGGGACGTACCTCCGCTGGGCCTCCCAGCCGCCCACGAAAGTGGCGGCAATTGCGCAGATCGCAAGCCCCCCGGGGCGGCGAGGTACCGAGGTGATCCGCGTGGCGTGTACCTCCGCGGGGCCTCCCAGGAGCACTCGAAAATGGCGACAATTGCGCAGATCGCAAGCCCTCCATGGGGGCGGCGAGATCCCGAGGTGCTCCGCGTGGGACGTACCTCCGATGGGCCTCCCAGGAGCCCACGATAGTGGTGACAGTTGCCGATCGCAAGCCACCCACGGGGCGGTGAGGTATCGAGGTGATCTGCGTATGACTTACCTCCGCTGGTCATCCCACGAGCCCACGAAAGTGGCGACAATTGCGCAGATCGCAAGCCCCCCAGGGGGCGGCGAGGTACCGAGGTGATCTGCGTATGACGTACCTCCGCTGGGCCTCCCAGGAGCCCACGAGAATGGCGACAGTTGCGCAGATCGCAAGCCCCCCAGGGGGCGGCGAGGACCCGAGGTGGTCCGCGTATGACGTATCTCCGCTGGGCCTCCCAGGAGCCCACGAAAGAGGCGACAATTGCGCAGATCGCAAGCCCCCCAGGGGGCGGCGAGGTCCAGAGGTGAACCGCGTATGACTTACCTCCGCTGGGCCTCCCAGGAGCTCACGAAAGTGACGACAGTTGCACAGATCGCAAGCCCACCAGGGGGCGGCGAGGACCCGAGGTGGTCCGCGTGGGACTAACCTTCGCTGGGCCTCCCAGGAGCTCACGAAAGTGGCGACAATTGCGCAGATCGCAAGCCCCCCAGGGGGCGGCGAGGTCCCGAAGAGGTCCGCGTGGGACGTACATCCGCTGGGCCTCCAAGGAGCCCACGAAAGTTGCGACAGTTGCGCAGATCGCAAGACCCCCAGGGGGCGGCAAGGTCCCGAGGTGTTCCGCGTATGACGTACCTCAGCTGGTCCCCCCAGGAGCTTACAAAAGTGGCGACAATTGCGCAGATCGCAAGCCCCCCAGGGGGCGGCGAGGTCCCGAGGTGATCAGCGTGGGACGTACCTCCGCTGGGCCTCCCAGCCGCCCACGAAAGTGGCGGCAATTGCGCAGATCGCAAGCCCCCCGGGGCGGCGAGGTACCGAGGTGATCCGCGTGGCGTGTACCTCCGCGGGGCCTCCCAGGAGCACTCGAAAATGGCGACAATTGCGCAGATCGCAAGCCCCCCATGGGGGCGGCGAGGTCCGGAGGTGATCTGCGAAATTATGACGTGCCTCCGCTGGGCTTCCCAGGAGCCCACGAAAGTGGCGACAGTTGCGCAGATCGCAGCCCGACGGCACGAGAGAGAGGAGAGGGGAACACAGGAAACAAGAGAGAAGGAGGGGAGGAGAGGGGAGGAGGAGCAATGACGGGGCGACCACACTGCTCTATTCAAAACGAGAACCCAACACAGGAAGGTTGGGGAAAAAACCTTCCAAGGCTCCCAAGACTTCCTTGTTCTTAAAAAACTGGGGGCGTGTGTTTGTTCCGTTTTCCGCTTTTGGGGTTGCGATCTACCAACATGGAAACAACGCGGTGGCCCAAAACGGAGGAAAAGCGTCGTGCTCGAGCCAATAATTAAAAGAGAACGCAATGCCAACATGGGGTGTCGAAATTGCCCAAACATGACCGGCGTTTGTGGGGAATGCGAAAACACGTTGAACACGTTGCAGAAACAAGCAAAAACGGCGCAGCACGGCGCAACCCGGTTCCAAATCTGAAGACGGAAAGGAGACTGTCATTGAAAGCGAATCAAAAACGGCATTCAAACCTGAAAGAAAACGGTGGCCCACATTTCGCGAAACGGGAACAAAAACTATAACCACAACGGAAAGAAAACGTTGCTCTTGAATACGGGGGGGGGGACAAAAGCCATGCGTGTTTAAGAACATATAAATCCCAGGAGTGCCCAAGAAGGCCCCAAGAGGCCACTAAGAGGCCACAAAGAGGCACCCAAGAGCCCCCAAGAGGGCCCCTAAACCCCCTAAGAGGCCACCAAGAGCCCCCCCCCCAAATGCACGAAATACCACCAAGAAGCACCGCTGGCACCACCGGTGCGGTGCGGGCCGGCATGAAACCCCGGGTGGTGCACGCAACCTCCCGGGACGCACCGTTGGTGCATGCGGCCTGGCACGAAACCCTCCGGGATGCCGGCCTGGGATGCGAGCGTCTGGGAGCGCGCATGTGGGAGCTCCTGGGGAGCGCGTGCGAGCATTCAGGGTGCTTTGGAGTGCTGGGGGGGCGCCCTACGACGACGACGAACGACGAAATACATCCATGGAGGCTTCTGGACATCTCCCCCTTGCCACAAACCCCCCCCTGCTCCCACAGAAACCCCCCACCCCACTGTATAATCATGGGGGGTGCGCCAATGCACCCAGTACGAACGTCCCTGGGAAGGAGAGGGTGCCGGTGCGCCCGGCACGACCCCCCTGGGGAAGGGGGCGAGAGGCCGCGGCGCGGGGGCCGACCGGGCCAGCGTCAGGGCCGCGGTGCGTCTGGCGAACGCGCAGGACGCCGCCGCGAAGCACGCAGTGCTCCTGGTTCCGGCGCGGGCATTTGGATTCTCGACGGCGGAGCTGTACATAAAGGGTGGCGAGAACAAGGAGCCTACCGAACGCTCAGGCCATGGCATGCGGGACCCCTGTGGGCAGGCACCACAGGTCACTCTGACGACGGTCCGCTCTTACACGTGGCCTAATGGAATAAGGGGTTCTAGGTTCCTCCTGGGCGACTGTCTGTCTCGGCGTTCCCGCGTTTTGTTATTATGAGTTGTTTTCTTCTTTCGCTGCGTGTTGCGTTGCATGGTGTCATCACATATCGCATATTGTGGTCGACGCTCCGCTACAATAATCCATTTGAATTCTATAGGCGAACGTGATATCCACATTGTTATGATAAGGCCAGACAGAAATATCCGATGCGTAATACGCACAGCAGAAATCAATGTGAACGTTCGACAACAACAGAACTGCCTGATTGCAAAATCAAACAACGGAAATGCATTTGCGATCCAGACAACAAAACAAACATCACCTTTCACTCGTTCGCAAGGCATCAATTTGTGAAGCCAGAGAAAAGATTCGATGTGCAACCCACACCAGGGAAATCAATGCACAACTCGCAGAAACAACGAATTCGGATGTGTAGACGCACGCGCAGATTCTTATTGTAATCCAAGGTGTCCTTTGAAAGGGCGCAAGAAAACAATGTGGGATAACCCCCACCAAAAAACAAGCATCAACCATGAATTCCTCACGCTTTTTTCCCAACCATCCTGTGGTGTTTGGCCCTCGTTTTGAAAACATAGCGCCCTGTCCCCCTCCTCCACCTCCTCCTCCTCATCCCTCTTCCCATCCCTGTCTCTGCCCTCTGCACGTCCATGCCAGCACACCCATCACACGCGCCGTGGCTCCATAGGGAGCTCCATCGAAGGCCCCAGTGGCAGGGCTCCCATGCGGTTCCCAGCCCATTTCGGCACATTCCTAAAACGTCCCGTCGTGACCTCACAAGGAGCTCCATCGAAGGCGTCAATGGCAAAGTTCGCATGCGGTTCCTCGCCCGTATCGGCACACCCCTCACACGATTCGCGGCCCCATAAAGAACTCGGGCCCCATAAGGAGCTCGACCGAAAGCCTCAATGGCAAGGTTCGCATACCGTGCCCTGCCAATTTCGGCACACCCGTCTCACGTTTCGTGGCCCCATAAAAGGGAAGCTCCACCGAAAGCCTCAGTGGCAAGGATCATATGCAGCACCCGCATCCATGTCGGCATAAGCCTCAAACATTTCGTGGACGGTGGTCCCCGTGGGACAACCCTCCGCTGGACATCCGAGTAGCCTACTTTTCTGAGTCTCGCGGTGGTCCCCGTGGGCTCCCCCCACCATCTCACGTGGATCCTCCTGCATCAACGCGCTTAGCTACCTGCGCACAGATGCGATGTATCATTGTTCCATGCGGGGTCCTGGGGAGCCCCGACCCCTGCCCCGAGGCTGGCTTCTTGTCCTGAATCGTGGTTCGGACGATCACTTGCCCTCTCGTCCCTCCAGTCCTCTGGTACTCCTTGGACCCCCAGAGACTGGCAATCGTATCTCGACTGACTGTGGCACGAACATGTCACGCTTCATTGCGGTGTCGCTTCGGACGAGGGCCCTCGGACAGCGAAAGATGGTCGCATGCACATGCTGAGCCCTCGTCTGACGCTATTGCTTCGGCCCCCATCCTCCCTCCCGTTCCCCCCCTCCTTCGCACCTTTGGACGCCCAAACTGGGTACGAAACAATTGAATACGATGCCCAACCAAACAATGTTGTCCCAAACCGACAGCGGGCGCTGTGGGGCAGGCGGCCGTCAACCTCAGATGGACAAGGTCCGCGGCGACGCCGACAGCGAGCCCTGTTCAAAATGAACAGGAACTTCTGCTAGTCTTCGTGCCCGTTCTTTCCGCACCCATCTCGGTCGTCCCGATCCTCCTCCCCCTCGTCCATCCAACCCCCACTCCTCCCACCCGCATCCACCCTCCTTCGACGTCCACCCCCTCGCCCCTCCCGCGCCCACCCGCCCCCCTTCCCGCCTCGCTCCCTCTCCTCCCTCCTCGCTCCCTCCATACTGCGATCCGACTCCCCGCCCCCTAGGCAGCGCGAAACCCGCGCGGAGCTCCCGGCTGCCAGTGTACCTAGTCGGCGCAGGACGGTTACGCCCCCCCGTTCGGAAGGAGGGGGAGCTCCCCCCTGATCTCTCCCTCGCCCTCCTCCTCCTTCCCTCCTTCCTCGTTCACTTCTCCCACCTTCCCACCTTCCCTCCTTTCTCCTCCTCCTCGTCCACCTTCCCTCCTCCTCCTCCTCCTGCTCCTTGTCCCCCTTCCTCCTTCTGCAGTCACCGTCCTGCCTCCTCCTTCCCTGCCCATCCACTCCCTCTCTCGTCCTCCTCCTCCTCCTCCTCCTCCTCCTCCTCCTCCGCCTCCTCCTCCTCCTCCTCCTCCTCCGCTTCCCCCCCTCCTTCTCCCCCTCCTTCCTGTTCTCCCCCTCGTCCTCCTCATCCTCCTTCCCGTGCTTCTCCCTCCCCAACCTCTGCACGCTCTGAGACGACGGAAGCGGAAGGGGGGCCCGAGGGTGGGGGGACCAGGAGGGGAGGGGAGGGATCGCGCGCGAAACGGGGACGAGCGTTCGGCCGACCTCCCCCCCACGCCCGCCAACAGATGGGCGGCCATCCTAGAGAAGCAAGGGGCACGCGGACGACGATGCAGCCGCAAAACGGTCCAGGCCCATACCGTCCCCCGCGCAAGTGCGACGAGATTTGTACAGATCCGGGTGACCTATAACCCAGGAGCGTGGCCCAAGGACTTGGCAAGTACTACAAGCCCTGGAATCCCACGAGGCGACCCAGGTAAAGCTGGACACTCAACCTGGGAGGGTAAAGGCACGACCCACGAGAGCGAGAGGCAACGACCCACAGAAACGAGGGAGCGCCCCCACCAGAAACCAAGAAGCGCGCCCCCAGGAAACGGTCGACGCCGTGGGTCGTCGTCATCGTGGTCAGTCGGCGTCGTCACCGTCGGCGTCGTCACCGTCGGCGTCGTCTGCGTCGACGGTCGAAACGTGACAAAGCCTGGGGGCGAAACGATACGATTCTACCCTGCTGGTCACGTGACAGCGCAAATGAGTGGAAACAACTCGTTTTCTGGTCGACCCGTCATGTTGCAACGCGGGGGAGGACGAACAAAACCAACAGCCTTCTGTGCTCGCCGCGCGCGACGGCGACGGTGACGACGACATAGACGAGAGCGACGTCCACGATGAAGGCTGCGACGGTGACGATGACGACCAAGACCCCTCCGACCCTTCCTCCACATTCCTCCCTCAACCTTACCCTACCTACCTCGAACTCCTCCACGCCATGGTCCCGGGAATCCGTCTGGCCAGACACACCAAGAACATGGCGGGGAATGGAAGAGCAGCTACTAAGTCCCTCATCCCTCTCCCTTTGGACCCCCCAAACCGAAGCCCCCCCCTCCTCATCACCCCTTTCAACAACTGAATTCTCGACAACCATGCAAGCCTCAAGCCACAAGAGTTTCAGAGAGTCCAAGAAGGGAACCGTCAGGAACCCATGGAACTCCGGGAATCCGTCGGCTATGTTTGATGTCTTGCGGAAGTCATCGATGGGCCACCTGTCACATGGCAATGCCTAAAGCATTAACCGAATACTGCATTCGGAATACACCTATTAGATTCGCCGCGTGGCAGTTCGAGGCGGCAGAAATACTGCTATTACTTGAGCGCCCCAGAGCGCCCCAAGGAGCGCCAAGCAGGTGGCAGCCCCCACGGCCTCAGGCCAAGAGCGTTTTAAAACGGCTGAGGTTGGTCTTAAGACGGCCCAGGAGGCGCCCATGACGCCAAGGGGGGGGGGGCTCCAAGACGACCCTAGGAGGACCCGAAGAGGCACAGTTCAACGATCTTGCTTTGGTGTTTCACACATTTAGGTGTTACCACCTTGTCAAGCTTCCGACCGCCCAGGACGGACCAAGGCATCCAAGAGCTCCCAGGAAGGCCCCAAGACGGCCCAGGAGTCCTCCCCAGAGGGCTCCAGAGGCTCCCATGAGGGCCCCAAGAGGGGAAACCCGAACCGGCATATCGAGCCTTCCCCGCAATTGGCCCACCCAGACTGCCAGCAGGCTCTCAAGAAACCCTCAAGAGGCCCCCAGAAAAGGATACCCCACGGGGCCCACAAAAGGCCCCAGAAGGTCCCGAAAATGCCGCCAAGACGCCCCCGAAGGGCTTCCAAAAAGACCACAAGAAGCCTTCCACAACGGCACCTTGTCCGCGACCCAGGTTGATTTCCAAAGTGACCCAAGAAGCCGTCGAGGGGCTTCCTCCTCCTCCTCCTCCTCCTCCTCCTCCTCCTCCTCCTCCTCCTCCTCCTCCTCCTCCTCCTCCTCCCCCTCCCAGATCGATTCCCCGATCCTCCTTCTCGCCAGCCACGTACACACCACAATAATGCAATATGGTCCGGCGGAATGAGCGAAGCGATCCGCCGCCCCACCGGGTACGGCGTGTGAGATCCACAGCATGGTCTTCAATTGTGATTTGCGTAAGTCTTCTCTCCAGCGCGCGCGCTTGTCAGATCTACCACTGCCTGTGAGCCCTCGCAACCCCTCCTAGAGTCCTCCCCGCGCCTCGCTCATTCCGCCGGCCCGTGGGCCCCAGCGGCGCCGGGGCGCCTTCTGGCCGCCATTTCCGTCCCAAGACGATCCTCTTTCGCGTGCCAGCCATCCAGGCGCCGCCAGGCACTCCTAGGCTCATGTTCACCCTCCTTCAGGCTACTTTGAGCCGTTTCAAATGCGTTTCCACCCCTCTTCGAGCCACATGCACCAGAACACCCCATCAAGCAAAAAACATAATAAAACACAAATGAGTTTGATGATTCTGACCTTTTCGCACTTCTCCTTGCGCCTCTCTCGGAGCTCCCTTGCATCTCCGCTGGCTCTTGCCGCCATCTTAGAACCCAGGAATGCGCTCTACGACCGTCCTGACAGCCTCTCAG